GAAGGATCATAGATATTTAGGTTGACAGACGCGTCGTGCACGACTCTCTTTTGGGTATTAAATTTTAGATCTCTTTACATTTTTCACGTCTCTTCTATCTAGTTTTTACTTAGTATTAATACCAACTTTATTTAATATATTGTTGAAGAGAGATATGTTAAAAATTAACTTAGCGTTCAGCACGCAAATGTTCACGAAAACAAATCGAGTTTGAAAAACTTTTCTGATTTTTCGAAATGTAATTAACCAACAGATGCAGAAGAAAAAAAAAAGAACGTACGAATCGCAACGCTTCGCTAAAAAGTCCATCGTCGACGCAATCAACCGTGTTTTACAGAGCAACGCAACAAACTTTAAATTACTCTCCAGCAAATCACACCAGGGAAATTAACGATCCGTCGCCGTCGTCGCCTCTGCTGAAACAAAAAAACAACAAAAATAATCAGACTTTCTGGCCCTTCGGCGAGATGGAAAAAGAAAGGATCTCGCTCTGTAAATAAACAAAAAAAAGTAGGTCACAATGGGAAACGTCTAAAAGCCCGTACATATAACGAACCAAGTGAGACAGTGAAATCAGAACTAATCTCAGTTGCGTTGTAACTATTTGCAACGATAGTAAATTAGTGAGGAACAATTCCTGTGTGAAACTCTGACGACTACGACGACGACGACGACGACGACGACTAGACACGTCACCGTAACCACGAGGACGAGGTGTGTAGATGAAAGATGCTGGATCGCAGCCCAAAAGCAATCTAACTATTCGCCAGCGGTTTACGTTTTGTCCAGACCAACTCCTTAGGGATATCAAGATAACCCTTTCGTGTGATTACATTACATTGTTGGATTCACACAGGAGTTTTTCCATTGTGACTTTTGTGGTTTTCGCGGCTTATCCAATATTCTTGCTGATTGATGAATTATTGTGCAAGAGTGTCATTTGTTTTTCTTACTCCAAAACACATTTGAGGTATCATAAAATAACGTGAATCTTTTACAAAACTCTACCAAAAATGTAGAAATGTGTCGTAACGACTCGTTCCTCAAGCTGATGCGTGAAAATTCAACGTTCGTTTATACGATCAAACGCGCACAGTTACACGTGCGCTGCACAGTAGCATCCGCACGTCCAAAGTAGTAACAACACTCCCTTCACTTACACTCGACGCAACTTGCAATTCAGTTGGACGCGAGAGAAGGGAATTTACATAGGTGGATGTATACGACAGGCTCATCTTGGGTTGCAGCGCGCTTGATAATTGCTACCGTAGGCTTGTGAGCGTACAACCAACGAACTGATAGATGGTACTAGGGCCAACTCTAATTAAGAGTCGACCGTGAGGGATACATGTAACCTATGTATTTATGTACGCACTCTCGATTTGTTTTTCTTTGATTTAGAAGGTTTCCATTAATTCGTACATACAAAGGGGCTGTTTTACCAAAATGCTATTATTAGAGCTGTGTCGATTTGACATTCGTTATGCCGGCCGAGTACTCATGGCTTCGTGCTTGTCCACTGTGAATTGATTTTTAATTTTGGTCAACGCTTTGGGAAATCTTATATCAATGTATTTGCTAAAGTTTTTTCAGAACTCATCTCTTCAAACGTTGAACGTTTATTAAAGTCACAGCGATGGTCATTAATTTCATTTAAACTCACTGATGCGATGTCTTACTCCTCTAAAATGATCACAATCCTTTATCCCAAGTGCGACTTAACAAATGTAAAGCAATGGGAACCACAAGAGTAAAAAAGGGGATCTCCGAACAATTCGTTACAGAAGAAGCTTAAATGTTAAAGTAGTTCCGGGGGAGAAAAAGCCAAGTCAATTACATCGAAGAATCAAGACGTATAGTCGCTTAGTCTTACACTTAATTAGCCAATCGAGGGAGATGAGCCCGATAGCGTTGGAAAGAAAGAGTGGCGCGACGATTTAATTATACAGGCCGCAAGCAGCAGCAGCACCGGCAGTAGCCCCGGCGGGCTGCCGATATAATTAATCGTTCGCCTAATTAATTGATCGCTTAATTAATTAGATCGATTAATGGGGCGCGAGCCATGTATTGGTTCCCTTCGAAGCTGAGCTGATGTTTAGGTCATAGCAGGGTAGCAAGTTATTGATGCGAGATGAATAATGTAGCGTGATTTTTCAATTTAAAGTATGGGCAAAAATACATCTATTATGGGGTTAAAAATTAGGCTTCAATGTGGATATAATTTGACGTACATATCTATCAGAACTGATAGGTGCTTAGAAATCGATGAGCATTTAAGTATGTTACTAATTCTGAAACCGCGTGCAAACTGAATCAATGTCATTTATTATTCCTAATCAGATTTTCGAAATTCGCTTGTGGGCTAATCACGAATTACGTATGCCAATTTGTGCGCTGTTCTGGTGAATTACCTTAAAATAGTATATATTACAAGCCGTAAGAGCCACTGCTGAATAGATAAATCGCGGACTGATTGGGGTTCTCTATACACGCTGGCGAATTAGCATGAAAAATTATTTTTGCCGAACGAGAAGGTGTCGACGAAAGCAAAAAGAAGCGAGCCTACGTCCGAAACAAATGGCCGAAGAATTTGTAGCCCTAGTTATTATCGTCACACAGAGATGACTTGTGCAGACGAGCTGCTGCCACTGCCGGAGGACAGCAAAGCACAGAAGTGGAAACAGAAAATGATAGGTGCAGCGCGGTTGAAAGAAAGAGAGATACATCGAAGATTGCGGGTGTGTCGCGAGCGCGCGCGAGTCAAACGGACGGATTCGTAATTACGGTGCTATATATACGACGATTAATGCCATGGGTTTGCGAGGTCAATTGTCGAGAGAGAGAAAAGAGTAAAAATTTTAATTGCTCGCTGATTGATGACCCGCGCGAGCGAAAAGGTATTGCGCGCGTTCACCTTCCAGCGGGAGGTGCTGGTAATATTTCGATCGCTCTTTTCTCTCTCTCTCTCTCTCTCTCTCTCTCTCGCCTCTGAGCACGAGCGCGAGCTCTAATTGTTATTTATGGATTTCCGTGCAACTATATTGCCAGATATTGATAATCGAGGTATTCTTGCAATATGCTGCTTGGATTTACAAGACAATATTACGCCTAAGCAATTTTTCTTTTAATTTCTATATAATCATGTAAATGTATTCTGTAACTTTTTTACTGTTTCTCAATGAAATAAAATAAAGCAGGATTTGTGAATTTTGTTATTCTTATAAATTTGAAGTCAATGTTGAACAACAGCAATTCCATACTCGCATGTCGAAATCTTGTCAAAAGTCGTTTCATATAGCTTCTAGCGACGACATATCGAGGAAGATTTTGTCGTGTACCCATTGAAAAGAAAAATCTCAAGCATGCTTTGCAATTTGTCGCCAACTAAACGAAATCAGCGCTACAACACAAGTAGTAAAAGTCAAAATCCTTAAAGAAAGTCGTCCAATTGTTAGCCGCAAAGACAGTTCGAAAACACAAGCGTAGCCGCCTTGAGGCCACGACGACCCCTCGCTCGTTCTCTTTCACTCTCGAAATGTCTGGTATTACTGAGGTTTGGCGCCCCAAGGCGCGTGCCCAGCTATTTGTAATTCTAATGGCGATACCGCAAAAGCGTCCGCCGATAATTTTTGGGCCGTCGCATTCTGCGCGCCCAAAGGCCACTTGCGGGGGAAGGACCGCGAAGAGAGCAGGATGGTTAACCCCCTTGAGCGACACATTTTTGTCGTCGGAGATTTCGTGAAAACGATTAGCCGTGCGCCGAACCCGTCTCTACCCGCCGGCGATTCTTTAGAATTCCTTTTTTCTAATATGCTTTGATAGTTTTTTCTTGCAATTCATTCGATTCGAATATATTGCAAAGTTTAATTTATTAGCCATTCAGTGCATTATCATTCATTATTTGAAGGTATTAGCCATAAAGAAATTTGACAATCGCATTTTTAATGGGAATACCGCAGAATGTAAATGTTTTGTTTCTATCGTATACGTCATATTTTAGAACACTAATTTCGGAGAAGTTTTTGACTTTAGTAAAAAACAAAATAACGCTAAACCTGAAACAGTCAGCCCACTTTCAAGCGACGCTTACTCTGCACTTAAAAGTTCCTTCGAAAACGGATGGTTTCAGGATTGTTATTGTAGGGACTCTTCAGCTTTAAACGAAGACAGCAATTGAAGATAATAAGAGGACGAAGCACGGAACTTTTAAAGAAAGTTTTATTGTCTCGTGGTAATGTATATTTTGTCGTCGTTGTTGTGACACCAAAATTGTACTAAGGGCTGTATAAGATCAATTATCTAACTTCAAGTTCAGTAACACCGTGTATATAGTTGTCATTCGAACTATTTCATATTATTTATAAGTTAGACAAAGAATCGATTGATTTTAACAAATAAAATATATTATATAATTGCTATAATAATACACTATAAAAAATAAATACATTAATTTTACAACTATATTTAACGTTTTCAAAAATGAAAAAATAAAAATTTATAACTTTTGATCTTGAAAATAAACTTTACAATGAAAAATAACTTATTAGACGAGACGATATATTTACGATATTTGCAATCTTTTTATATTTATTACTTCAAAGAAATTCAAAATAAATAACATATTCGAGTTAACACCGTGTGGAACGATTCCCCATTTAAAGCTACACTTTTTACTGGTTAGTCTCCATGCGCCAAGCAGCGATAAAGAACTTTGCTCCAAAAGTTATTATATTAAAAACGAATAAATAAAAAACTCTTAAATATTAATGGATATTTGAATACCAATGTTTACTAATTTATAAACTGCAGAGGTACTTATGTATTTAGTTCAAGATGTTAGATAAACTAATAACTATGAACATTTGTGAGATTTCAGGGCTGTCAGGTGCTGCCACCAACCGGACACGAGTATAGGCGCAAATGTCCGAGCGATGGCGCTCTCCGCTCTCTTTCACAATTCCTGGTGCTCCCTAAGCCTCGCTCCTAAGCCCGGATATGCAGAGCGCGAAAGATCAGTAGCTGGCACATCTCCGTCTTACTCCGGCAGTCGCTTCCTTCTAGCTACATTTGTCGGAGCAAGAGAGGTGCACCAGCATACCGTTGATACTTCGCTGTATCGACCTTCCGCTCACTTGTAACACATTTACGCTTTAATATAGTTTGGTCTTACGAAGTTGGTGTGTATTCGCACTATTCTATCTTTTCCACTCGGGATTCGTGAACTTGGTTACGCTCGTTAAGATAGCCAAACATTTATTGTCGGTAAGTTTGTAACATCGATCATTTATGAAAGATGCTATAAGCGCCATCTATAAGACTTTAATAGCAATTCAGCGCCTGTGCAGTGTATATCTAATGTAGATTACGGAAAATCAGTTCTTTCTTACCGACGTATAGTTACGGAGTTACTAATAATTGATAAAACTTTGAAATCTTAATTTTGAATTAAGTATGAGAAGCTACTTTATCTGTAGACAGCTCTGATTTAGAAGTACGTAATCAAGTAGTTGATCAGTTATGTTGGTGTTTATTTACGTTATGTTTTCTGTGATTAGCATTTCGATTTTGGAAATTTGTTAAAAAAATCTGGATTCATGTGGCCTCAATAATATTACTTATAATATTACTTGTAATATTATTTTTAAATCTCATAATTGTCTGTATATCTTGGATATTTCATTCAAATTATTCAGGTTAATAATTTATATCGACATAAAATTGTATTGGTAACTAATTCTTTGGTAAATGTTTAGCAATGTAAAAATAGAAATGATAAATAATTTTTTCAGTTATGTTTACTAAATAAATCTACTCTATGCCTATGTAACGATAGTTATTGACAAGCTGAAGAATGTTTAAATTATAATGTCGAAAAATTTATACAGTAGATTACTACAGAAATATAAGATCAATATTAAAAGACTTTTATGTCCTCCAAAATTTGATGTCAATATTACACAGTATTCCATAATGGCGGAAATCGTTGTTGATATTAAACAAGGCAAATTAAAAGGTATTGTTAGAGATAACATCGATGGTGGAAAATATTTTTCTTTCCGCGGTATACCATTTGCTGAACCTCCAGTCGGCTCACTAAGATTCAAAGTAAGTTATAGAAAAATTAATAACTTATAAAATTCATAGATTTTTTAAAAAATTTTCTTATAAATTTTTGTGTATATAGGAACCTCAAGAGTTGAAACCATGGAGCGGTATAAAAGACGCATTAGAAGAAAGTAAAAAGTCGGCTCAATACGAAATAATGTCTAAAGTAGGCGAAGGTGGAGACGATTGTTTATATTTAAATGTAGCAACAAACTCACTAACTGATAAAAAACCTGTTATGGTTTGGATTCACGGTGGTGGTTTCAAAAAGAGTTCAAATACATATCAAAAGTACAGCCCAGATTATTTGCTGAAAAAAGATATTGTTTTTGTTGGTATAAATTATAGACTTGGTGTTTTAGGTAAACATTAATATGTTATAAAACACTATTTTTCCACTAATATGATTAGATGAATAAATATTGATTGTTGTTAAATTTTAGGTTTTTTAAATATGGAGCATGAAGAGTGTGCAGGAAATCAAGGATTGAAAGATCAAATGGCCGCTTTAATATGGATTCAGGAAAACATAGAAGTTTTCGGTGGTAATCCTGAAAATGTTACAATTTTCGGTGAAAGTGCTGGAGGAGCTTCAGTGCACGCGCTATGTTTATCACCTCGAGCAAAAGGTTTCTCCATGATGCCCATAATGTATTATAAAAGATCAACATTCCAATGTTTTTTAAATATATTTTTTTTTACTTGTACAGGCCTATTTCATAAGGCTATTGCACAAAGTGGCGTTGTTTCTAACCCATGGGCGCATACTTATTCCAATAAGGAATGTGGATATTCTTTAGCTAAAGCTTTTGGAAAGAAATGTTATACTCCACTTGAAACAATTGAATATTTAAGAACGATTCCTTCTCTTGATTTAGTAACAATGTATGAAAATCTTAATAATATGGTAAGTTTACTGTGAATTATAATTAAAAAGATTATTAATTCTAGTACGAATTTACGAGAAAAAAAATCTCATAATCGTACATTTTTAGGAAATGATAAAATTAACCCTTGAGTTAGTTCCAACTCAAGATAAAAGCGTCAATCCAGTCTTACCTCAACCTATACAGGAAATGAATCATAAAGGAGTAGATGTTCCTCTACTAATAGGCTACAACAGCCATGAAGGCATTCTCCGATTTTTAGATAATACTGAAGAATCCATAATGGAAATCGATAATGATTTTGAATCGGCTATTAACGATTATTTAAAAATAAATGACGCTTTGAAATTATCACATATTGCGAAAACTGTACGTGAATATTATTTTGGAAAAGAGAAAATAACCGAAGCAAAAATTAATGAATTGGTTCAATGCTTTGGAGATTTAATTTTTGTAAATAATATTCTCGAAGTAGTAGATATTCAAATGCAAAAATCATCACCAACGTATCTGTATAAATTTTCATATAGACCAGATTATCCTACAATTCAAGATTTGTTCAAAAGTAAAATAGAAGGTGAGGTGGATATTTATAATATGCAAATTTTACTTCTTCAATTTATAATGATATTAAACATTTGTTATAAATAATTAAAGGTACTTGTCATGCTGATGAGATGGGTTGCTTATTTTTCTCAGAACTGAGAAGAGGAAAACTTCCTAAAGATTCAAGAGATCGTACAACAATGGAACGCATGACAACAATGTGGACAAATTTTGCCAAAACTGGGTAAAAACTTAAATTTTTCATGTAATATATAATTGAATAGAAAAATGTACATATTTATAAATAAATTTTAGGGATCCGACACCAACGACGAATGATTTAATACCAGTGAAGTGGCGATCTTTACAACCAAATAAAAAGAATTATCTAGAAATCAATGATGATTTGACATGTGGTCAGAATCCAGATAGCGAAATGTGGAATATATGGAGGCCATTACTTGAGTCTTTACAGCAATGAATTTTAGTTGATTAAATTTTCCTACAATTAACAAGAAAGGTAATCAAAAATAATGAGGTGAAAAAATGTTTTTTCACAATGTTTTTACGTTATTATACGTATGTATATGCATAGTACCATAGTACAGTTTTACAAGTATAAACAGATAAATTGATTGAAAATCATTCTTTTGTATTTTATCATTATTAAATAATCATATCCTAGTTTACGTTTGTTAGATTTATTTTATTATATTTACATATGAAACGAAACAGTTACTGTGTAAAAAGTTATTTTAAATAAATTGTAATTAATAATGTCACGGGTTGTGTATAGCCCAATATTGTAACTCCCAACCCGTGACAATAAAATAAGTTAGACTTCATTCATTTTACTATCGAACCGATACTGCTTGAAGTATAGTACAATCTTGAAACAATTTATGTTCTTATTTAGTTTGTGAAGATACTTTAAATGAACATACAATAAATACGTCATTATTATCTACAAATATAAGAAGTTGATTTTTGTTTTATGCGTTCGGATTGTTGTAAGTCAACATTTACTGTTATCTTCATAAAAAAATATATAATATGTCAATTGTTTTATGCTTTTCATCACTATAAACCGTAACACTTCAAGCTCACGCAATGAATAATGAAGCTCGATCCGACACTTGCCATTAACACGATTCACAGTGGGTAATCTAATAAGGATAACGAACCTTAAACCGCAGATTCTCCAGAAATCTGAGATTTACTGCTTGCGATGTAGGGCAAGTCCTAGGAGGATAATGTTTTGATGCCACAGTTTGTACACAGATTGCATATCTCGGTATCTTATGATAATAGGATCTATTCAACGATTACCCTGTATTATCATAAAATGCCAGATTATTATTAACCTACATGTTTATTTTAAGATTTCCGGGCACAAGTGCTGATGATACTACCCTGTACAATAGGTTGTTTAAAATATCAATAAAATGTATTTGTTCGGAAATATAGTACCTTCCCTTACGCAATAAAAATGCCAAGACTAAAAACCCTCTATTCTTATATATTTTGACTCTTTCAATCCGGACGCGTCACTAGATATTTTGAAAAATGGGTAGACATTTATTTAAAATGTAATTGTTGAAACAATATATAAAAAATAGTTTTTTCGATTTGGATAATTTTTTTAGATAAAATATAGAACATTTTATGACGAAAACGTCTCATAAATTTTTCATAAAATGCATAGTTTAATAGATAAAATTTTAAAGATTGGAAATTTGGTGTTTTTCAATGATTTCGAATGTTAATAACTTTTGATTTATTTAATACCAATGAAACAATTTTATTCTTTGAACCATGCTCTACAAATTGATCTAGTGTCATATAGCCCAGATCTCTTAAAATTTTTTGGCGATTAACATTAAGATAATTTAATGTATATACAGTATGCATATTGATATAGCAAATCGCATCAAACATTTTTCACGCATTTATTTTATTAATTTGATTGATAATCTAAGTATCAATTTTTATTGTAAATTTTGTAATAATGAAGTACATTTATTTTTTGCTCTCTTAATTCTAAAGAATCTCCTTTCATTGTATTATAGGAGTTCACAAATACCAAACTTCAAAAATTTGATCGTCGATATTCTTATACGATACGGGCAAACATGCACAAAGTCCAATGCACCTGGATAAGTGAACAGCGGGGTTTTTAACAGTATGAAAACCAAATCCCGTCATATAATATAAATGAGCAATTCAAATTTAACACAAAACAAAAGCGATTTACGATTTATTGAATTTAAAAACATAATTTATATTTCTATAATTATATGAACAATAACTACACTTATATTAAAATTATTACAAAAAAATATTACATTTTATGATATAAGAATAATTTAAAAATAGAACAATTTCCGTGACATACACCGGGGAAAACGTAAGCGTGGTATTTTCTGATCATTACACCTGACTTCGGGTGAGGTTGACCGAAGAACCCTTGTTAATGACTGTCGTTTTCCTCTTCAAAGCTGGTATTGACATCTTCGACTTCCATGCCATGCAGGTCTTCATAGTAATCCCTCCGTGGTTTCAAATATTCGGCGCAAGTTGTTATTTGTTGCAGCTTGTCGACGTCTGCAATTTTTTCCATATTGTAGCAGTTGTTAGGCTTGACCCTTGTAACACTATAAGAGCCTAAGAACTTAATCTTTAGATTTCGGTCTGGTGTCTGTTAGGTTCGTAAAGAAAAACGGACACTATACAAGCAATAATAAATTTTATTATTAATTACCAGAAAAAAAAGTTTCAAGAAATCTAGGTCAATATCTAATCAAACTAAATCAATACGTAGAACGAGTTTGAAAGAATAAGCAGAAGGAATAAGAAGAAATAGACAAAAAATTATCAAAATCGTGAGTTAGTGAAAAACTTAAATTTCCCGACATTTAAAAATGTATAACTTTTAAACTATACTGTATTTTACGAACAATTTCTTTTCATCGTAAAATTAACTATATTATATTAAAAAATTGTCTAGATAAAAACAACTATTTTTTCATATATTATTTAAACAATTGCATTTAAAATAAATTTTCTGGCATTTTTGGAAAAATCTATTGGTGAATTCGAGAGTCAAAATATATAAGAACATAGGGTTTTTAGCTTTGGCACTTTGATTGTATGCGAGCTCCTGAGTACTATTTCGTTTGACACATTTACAATACAAGATACTTACGTAATATTTGTTCAAAGACAATAAAACTACCTTTAATTGTAAAAGTTGCGTTTTAAAGTGAAATTGACAGAGATGTCCGATTTTATTTCTCCATAAAATGATATCACCGAATTCGCTAGTTAGGCTTTTTCCCAAACCCGTGAATCATAACTTTGATTTTTAATAGTAATTTTCCTTGCTATTACGTTTTCGCTTTGTCCATCAGGTGACGGAATATATATCTATATGTCAGCAGAGAGTGCGATACCTGAGTGCATTGATGCGAGTGTGCATGGCTTCTTATTTTCTTTCGCAGTTCCGACACTAAAACCTTTACTGTATAAAATGCTACTGAGATCAACTCAAGAGAATGAGGTAGAAAGGAGCGCGAAAAGCTACGTGAGTGAGCTTTTCACTCGGAAACCACTTGAATTCACGCTACTAGCTTTTTGTTTTATTTTCTTTTCCCTTGGACTTTATCATCCACTGGCCTTTTAGCTGGTCATTTTTTTTCAGCGACGGAAAAAATTATATTTTCTCGCTTGAAATTGCTTTAACGTATGGTTAATCGAGCTCCTATGGAGAGGAAATATCGAGATTATTCCGTGCAATTTGCCGTGTTAAGAGATTTTGTGGTGGTGGCAGATGTAGATTTATGGAAGTGTGTACTTCTAAGGGTAAGTGTGATGATATTTATTTATTGTCTATATTATTTTTTTTACGTTGTAATTAAAAATAAAAATTACAATTTATTCTTTGATATTTACAAGTTGGTGTGACGTAACTTTAAAATTATTTCTTTTTCTTGTCTTTATTAAAAAGTATATTTCATAGTGTTTTTAAGGTGGCAATAATAGTTAAAATTGAAAAAAATTGTATAATTAAAAACTTGTATGCATCTTTTATTTGTTATTATATATTCTAAGATTTTATTTATCTCACTTTTAAATAATCTTGAGTATATTGGAATGGTTCTCTTTATGTACTATTGTGTATTATTCTATACTCAGAATAATACAAACCAATGAAACGTTTAAAACCAAAAACAAATTGTTTGTCATTTTTACTGTAATTATGCACAAGGACAACAAAATCTGCATCTTGTGTATCTAATTTAATTTTTAATTCAGATTTTGTAAGCCAAGGCTAAGCGGGATCTAATCCTGTAATATGTTCAACTTTGAAGAAACTATCATCCTTTTTGAGCGATATGGCCTCCAAAACTGTGGTCTATAAAAAGCAAATGGTTCTATGAATAAGAAATATTATTCGACCTTGGTACTTTGATATTCATGCTCTGTGAACATGTATAACAAGAGTATTATGATTGTATTACAATTGTGACATCCGGGTCACTATCTCAGGTACGTCTGAGGTGGACGTAATCTCAGGCGCTCTATTTGGTTTGCGTGCGTACGCTTAAACCGGGACGAGCGATTGGAGAATTAGAGCTTTTCTACTTCGCGTTTCGCGTAAAAAGAGTGAAAAAATTAAACTGGACTACAAGCCTTCCATCAAACACCAGGGTCCAATGGAATCGGGACTTGGATGTGAAAATCCCAAACCTTGCCGGAATTATCACATAAAAAGTATTTTATTTTAGTTTAACGGCGCGACTGTCTTATTGAAAAAGTATCCCAATTCCTGCTGAAATACTTTTTCGAAGACCTATTTTTCACGAGTTTCGATCAGCTACTCTAACAAGAAGAGGAAAAGGAGAGATAGTGAATAAAATTTTGTTTCAACTTACTTTTCTTTTATTTAGTTAACTGGTACTGGAGAAGTCAATCTGGACCTGGCACTTGGTCAATGAGTTGCACTTAAAACCTTGTGTGGAGCGTGGGAGCGTGAGAGAGCGATTTTCGCTTGTGCATGCCCTTTTAAACCCTGGGGGTGGTTGGGAGGAAAATCCCTCTTTCAGTCCCTCGAAATTTGGGAAGAGTGGAAATGCCAGTGAATTGTAATTGGCCAACCGAGATTTTCCCTCCTTTTCTCTTTCGGATTTCGGGCCCTAATTGGTTCGGGGGCGTGGTGAGAATTGGGGGCGCGCGTTCAAGAGTTTGGGCCTTATCTCGCTAGATGACTCTCCAAGTACCATTTTTAGTACAGTTTCTCTTATAATTATTAAGTTATTTATTATATAAAATTATTACAATTAATTCTTAAAAATAACGCAAGTTCCTTATTATTTAATATATTTTACGCGAAAATCTGTTGATCCTACATGTTTACAATTGGTAACTTAATTAATTAACTCACTTCGTTGTTTAAATAAATTCGAACGAAAAAAGGGTATTATTTAATTGTGGACTGTATAACTGATTTGCTAAAATTCGTTCAAGTAACTGTTTTCGACTATTTACCTCATTTTTCTAATTTGTAATTTTAAAACTTCGAGTTATTTTCAATGATTGCGCGGCAACTATATTTCTAATCAAAAAGTGTGTGGGAGGTTTCAAGAAGCTGCGAAATTTTCCTATCATGCTGTTATTTTCCCGATTCATTTATGTAAAATTAGTTATTAAGGTTTTTTTTTTATAGCAAAAGTTTTGACTTCTAAAAGTGGAAATCTTTTGGGTGAAATCGAGTAACAGGATGCAGGTGGAATTCCGCGGCTCCTTTACTCTTTATCTAAACCTACTCAAAAAACTTTATGATCGTGCGAGGTAAACATCGGAAAGCGCGCGATAAAGGGACGACTATTTTCACGTGTCCTCCAGCTGCTTCAGCTGAAGGCTCTCCTTCGCTAGTTTACCGAGTTAAAATTTAAGCTACACAAAAGTACATGAGGAAAAAAAATTTATTTCTAATAAACGGCCCGACGTTACACAATATTACGAACTAATATATCTAGTAGTTTTCAATGAAAAATCAACAACTTACTGGGAAAGATCTTTTGATATCTTAGAAGTAGTTCGGACAAAATCAATGTAATTTCATAAAATAACTAACTACCTTCCTTTAAAATTAAAAATTTAATATAACTACCTTCCTTCCAATCAACTAATAGCACATTGGAATTTTCCCAGTAAGGATAATAGATAACTTAACTAACCGACTCATATTTATTGTTACTACAATTAACAATTTAATTAAAAATTTATTACATTCTTAAAAATCTTGTTTTTTAAATCCATGACCCATGACTTCTGGTAGTTTTATCTGAACACACGAATAACCACATATGTTTCTAACGATACGTTAAAAATATTGTTTTTTATAGCCGATAAGTTTTTATTCTTTATGTCCAGAATTCTGTCATTGCCCGCTTCATTTTTCAAAGTGATGAAAAATGTATTATTCTTGTATGATTTTCTATCAGTATTCGTAAATTAAGATGATTACAAGGATACCCATTCAAAATGGAAACAAAAAAGGGACCGTTGTTTCAGTTAAATAATACACCAGTGAAAATATCTCAAATTACAAAACTCTTACATAAAA